ATGCGTTGTTTCGTTGTCATTGTGAAATTTTTATTGGTTTTCTTTCTTGGAGAAGGAAGGTGAAAAAAAACTTTTTTTGAATTCCTTCTTGGTGACCCATAATATACATCAGTTTTGCAAGAATGACGCATTTTGAGTATATAACAATGTACACAGGTGCTTCTTGTCACATCATTCAATGGGTATTATCCAATTTCTCTCTTTCAATGTTTTATCAAAACAAGATTGTCGTTTGATTATTTTATGACGGCAATTCTTCTCCTCATTTGCATGCTGCATGACTCATATGCAGTACACAATGAAAGTAACTAAAAAAGAATAAAGAATTGTTTATCCTTGGAAAAAAACCAACTATGACAATAGAAGAATGCAATAGGTAAATATGACTTCAAATTTGCATCTGATAAGGTAAAGCAAGCATTCCACGTACATAAGAGTACATTTTAATCCTTAAAAACACTTTCTCTTATTGATTTTATCTCGTTGGAATAAATCTTACATTCACAGAATTATAGATCTCAACGACACTTTGCACTAGAAGAAATATGAATACAAGTGAATTGTATCTCGCTTGCCGAAATGGCGATATAGATACGGTCAAACGTTTACTGCCATCACTTACTTTACATGACATCAATCGTATGGAGCCTAACGGTAGCACTGCTTTACATGCGGCTTCTTACTATGGCCACTATGATATTGTTAAATTACTATTGGAAATGGGAGCTGTTCGTAGTATTATTAATAAGTACGATATGACGCCTGCTGACGAGGCAGGAACGTTGGAAATCAAATTACTGTTTCGTCGACGACCTGAAGAAGCTCAAGCTCGTTTTATCTCTACTGGTCATAATGTTGAGTGGCAAAAATCAGCAGCCGGACGTGCAGTGAAAATAGCTGCACATAATTTAGCATATTGCAATCCTTTCGAAAATATGACCACTGCATATAAAAGCATAGTACAAGCCATAGAGTTGCGTGATTCTAAAGATATGAATCAAATAAAGTATTTTCTGGATAAGGCTTGTGAAACAAATGATGCCTCGTACTTACTCCGAGCGTACACGGCCGAAACTGACTTCTACCGTCGGCTTAACATACGCAGTGCACAATTAAACGCTAGACGTGGGCATCCGGATCCGAACTTATATTTGAAAGAATGGTCTCTTGCATATAATGCTCAATTAATAAAGGATCCCACATTTCAGAGATTTCATTGGACAGGAAAGACCTATCGTGGTATGATAATAACTGAATTTGAACTTCAACTTTATAATCGTGTTGGTAATGGTATTGTTAATCATGCATTTTTGTCGACATCAAAAGATCGAGAAGTTGCTCTATCCTTTGCTTCTTCGCCATCTCCTGGTGAGATTTCTGTTATCTGTGTATATACAATCACACAAGACTGGAGCGCTCTTGATATCGAGAAGATTTCCGAGTATCCGGAGGAAAGAGAAGTGCTTATCGTTCCCAATATGCATTTTCGTATAACAAAATTTACAAAAGGAAATCCTATCGAAGTTGAACTTCAAGAAGAAAATATGCAAGAAGCTATGAACGAAATGGGATATCTTGGATTTACCGACGCCTTGACAAAAGATTATTGATTATGTCCTCTGCCAGTCACTACAAATCAGTTGGAACTTAGATACAGCTATTTAATTAATTAGCTATATTTGTTTTTATTAATAAGAATAAAAGGTGTATTATCTTCACTATACAGTTGTACTGTATAAATTTAGAGCGAGACTGATTAACAATCGATTAATCTAAGTTACTCAGTCGAGTAGCAGGCTAGGAATAAATTACCTTACTATGACAGGTATCAAAGCTCTTGCGGATTCCATTAAGTAAGCTTTAAAATTCTGTACAAAAATATTGTTATTTAATGTGTGAAATGCTTCGGACCTTGAAATTCAACAGGAGTAGTTAATAATAATAAGAAGTGAGAATTGGCACGACAGATGTTTTCGACATACTGAGTAGGTCTTATTCAATGCTGTTTAAAAAGAACATCTCTTTCTTCAATCCATTAATGACTAACAGTCTTTCTTAAAACATAAGTCAATATCGAATTGCGCGTGGGTGTGCATGCATGAAGAGAAAAATGACAGCTACACCCTACACTAACACTCACAAGGAATAAAAGTAGAATGCGATGAAAATAATATGAATAAGTTTGAATAGTTTTATCGTCAGTAGGACGAAAACTTAGAGAGTGGCAATCTATGAAATTTTGCACACTGGTCTTATTTGCACCATAATTAGGCTATAGGTATAGATATCGGTGTGAGTACGTAGAGAGAAAAATGGCAGCCACGTCCGCATCCACACTTCACACTCACATCCTACACTCTAAAAAAAAACATATTCTCGGAAACCGAAACCTCCTCGGGAACTCTTTCAAAAACCCATGAAAATATCTGGAAAGGTTTCCGAACTCATGTTAAGATTTTGAAAATACCTTTTGGGTTTTCGAGCATTCCGAAATCCGCAGTCCCAGAAATCCTGGTGCTATTTTCGAAACCGCTTTTGCTTTAAAAACCTTCTCGCAAACCTTTGCGTTTCCGCTATTTTTTTATCAAAAACCTTTTTGGATTTTCAGACATCGGAAACGATGAAAGCGTTTCCACGAAATCAAGCATGATTTCCGAACATATCTTGGAAGCCATGGATGATTTCCAAATCTTCACAAAACCCTTGCATTTTCAAGAAAAAGTTTCGGAAATCCATCCAGTATTCTGAAATACCAAAATAGTATTCGGATATTTTCTTTTGGATTCTCATATTCCTATCGTTGTTTTAGAGGTTTAGGAATTGCTCGACATGCATGATATAAATCTAACTCAATTTATGTGAAATTATTCTGTAAAACCATTAGAACTCTGAGAATTCAAAAAAGACTTCGTTCCCGAAAAAATCTCGACTCGTTTTTACATCTTTCAGTACCTAAAGACTTGATTGGCTGATAACCAATTTTACTGTGAGAATTGAATAGCTGCACTAAATCGTCAGGTCATTAAAAGAATGTAATGTTTCTCCTTCATTCACTTAAGTTTCATCCAAGTGCAAGCATTATCATTTTTGTCAACAGATTGCAATGGAATATAGTGCAAGCTTCGACTGTTTGAGAATTCTTTCAACCGATTTATACAGAAGAGTGATAGGTGAGGAATGATGGAAAACATGAAGAGATCTTCATTTGCAAGAAAATGTAAAACAAATATCGGGTGTCTCGGAATGTTTGCAACATCATTTATTGTGCATATATCTCTACGAACATAAATAATAAAATCTGAAATTTTTTCAAAACATGCGTCCTGATATTCTGTACAATAGTCAAAAAATGATTCTCTTGGCTTGTGTGCTAATAGATTTGAAGAGAGCTAAAAGAAAAGACGTATCAGATGTTGTAGTTTCTCACTTGGGTATCGATATAAACGCTTTTAAAAAAGAAATTTACTCTCTAAATCAAATTAAATGTACAAAAACTCATTTCTGAATACCATCATCTAAATAAAGTAAGCATCTTGATGTTCAAAAATAGTTGGAAAGAACGAAACCTCTGCAAAATATGATTGTTGCTTATCTGAAGAAAAAAATTCTGAACAGCGAGAAACTATAGATTCTCATACACATTTCCTTTTAGGTCTTTCCAAATCTATTAGTAGAAGTCATAAGAATTTCTACGTTCATCTATTGTAGAGAATGCCATGACGTACCATTTCAAAA